ACTCTATACAAGATTATTGCCAGGATCATAACAAAGAGGTTAAAAGCAGCTGTGGACTACCTTGTAGGACCAACTCAATATGCATTCATAGAGGGGAGAAATATTTTAGACAATGTCATTCTGGCTCATGAGTTGGTGAATGGGTACACAAGAAAAACAGTCTCTCCAAGATGCATCATTAAAGTTGATATTAGGAAAGTTTATGACTCGGTTGAATGGAGTTTCCTAAAACAACTACTGATTGAACTAGGGATTCCTCACAAGATGGTGACTCTGATAATGGAGTGTGTAACCACAGTAAGTTACTCTCTGTTGATCAATGGTGGTATAACAACTAGATTCCCAGCAAAGAAAGGCCTAAGACAGGGGGACCCTATGTCACCATATCTATTTGTACTTGTGATGGAGTACCTAAACAGAGCATTGAAGTAGCTACAGACTAACCCATGCTTTAACTATCACCCTAAGTGCTCTAAACAACACATCACTCACATATGTTTTGCTGATGACCTGCTTTTGTGTTGTAGAGCATATAAGATTTCAATGCAGCTTCTAATGAAATACTTTGAGCACTTCTATTCTGTTTTTGGACTTAAAGATAATATGGAGAAGAGCTCCTTGTACATTGCTGGTGTCACTCCTGAGTTTAGAAAACACATCCTAGATGAACTACATTTCTCTCTTGGAAGCTTGCCTTTCAAATACCTAGGAGTTCCTTTGTCTGCCACAAAATTGACTATCAATCAGTGTATGCCCTTAGTGGAAAAAATGGTGGCTAGGGTGAGATGCTGGTACTCAAAGTTCTTGTCATATGCAGGTAGACTTCAGCTGATAAAGAGTGTACTGTTTGAGATTCAAACCTACTGGGCCCAAATTTTTTTGCTTCTAAAAAAAGCGTTGAAGTTAGTCACAACAATCTGCAGGAATTTTCTCTGGCATGGATCGAAGGAGAATGTCAACAGAACACCAATTGATTGGGAAACAGTTTGTCAACCAAGATCAACTGGTGGGCTAAATATTCTCAACTTCACTTTATGGAAAAAAGCAACAATACTGAAATTATTATGGACAATATCGCAGAAAAAAGACACTCTTTGGGTCCAATGGATACAACACCAATACATAAAGGAGAAAGACCTAAAGGATATGAAAACACCAGGGCAAGCATGCTGGGTGGTTAGAAAGATCTTTGAAGCTAGACAGTGGGTAACTCCTAATATGGACAGGCTACATCAATATCCAATTCAAAGAAAATTCAGCATTAAGAAAGCTTACATGGACAGTCTTCCTCAATATCCCAAAGTTACCTGGAAAAGCTTGATTCTAAGTAAAGGTTTGATCCCAAAACATCAATTCACCCTGTGGATGGCCCTTCAGCAAAAACTGGCTACAGTGGATAAAATTCGAAAATGGGGGATTCAAGTGCAAAGTGAATGTGATCTTTGCTCAACAAGTTCAGAAGAGACATTCAACCACCTATTCTTTGAATGCCAATATTCCAAGAGCATTTGGCAGAAGCTACTACTATGGATAGAAAAGCAGCGACAATTGAATCATGGAATGAAGAAGTTACTGAACTGGCAAGCATGACGAGGAGTAAGCAGCCCAGATATGCTATCTATGCTTTTCTATTTGCAGCTACAGTTTGTCACATCTGGATGGAAAGGAACAGTAGAAGATTTAGACAAATGCAGAAGCCTCTTATAGAAATACTGAAGGACATAGCCTTGCAATCTATATATTATTAAAAGGAAGGAAGTTTGGCATAGAATTGTGACAAGTGGCGAATAAGAAAATGACATGTGTTAGTTTTTAGGACAAAAAGTAGTTATTAGGAGTAATATTAGTTATTAGTTGATTTTTTATTAAAATTAAATTTTAAAATAATTAAATAACTTTTTTAAAGTAACAACGTAGAATAGGAAGAAAATTATAACAATTTGTAAGTGGTGTTGTCCTAACTGCTTGCAAAATAAAAACCGTATTTTTTTGGCAAGTGGTTGTACTGTTTACGCAATAATAAAATAGAACAATTAGTTTTAAATTATTGGTCTTCATAGAGCACATTTTATTTAAAATAATTAAATATTCAATTTAAGATCTTACAAAAATATACAAATTATTTATAAGGTAAAAACAATTAAATAATCAGTAAAAAATATTTTGTTAACAAGAATAGTAAAGTCATATTAATATTGATGAATCATGCAAACGAATATTTTATACGTATAGATTACTACAACATTTAGATATAATGTGTTCAAATAATTAAGAAAATATTTTTCTATGATTAATATTTGAATTGAGTGCAGTTAGTTTAAATTTGAAAGCACAACATACTTTTTTGAAAATGCGGTCCAAATTAGAAAATAGAATGACAAAAATTATTTGAATTTGAGATGAGAAAGTTTTTAAATTTTTATCTATATTATATTAGAATGAGTGTGGTAGAAATAGATATTAAATTCAAACAAGCTAATAGAAATTCACATGACAATGTAATAATATTAGTTATTGAATAATATAATATTAAAAATAAAGAATAAATAGAGAAAAAACAAAAATTCAAATTTTTTATCATAGAAAAAAGGGTAAAACTTATTTAAATTTGAGATGAGAAAGTTTTTTATATTATGATAAGAAAAGTCATAATATGGATAAATCCACATAATTCAAGTCTAATAGATAAAATCAAAAACTAAAATATTGAATAATAAAAATAAATTAAAGATAATGTGAGGAAATTTGTAAATAATAAGTTTAGAAAATAAAATAAATGTAAATATACAATACTTAGAAATATTATTAAAATTTAAAAAATTTAAAATTTTCGAGAAATATTTAAAACAAAATAAATATTTATTTTATGATTACAAAAATTATATAGTTATCTATATTATATAAAGAATAGTAGTGATAATAATATGAAATAATGTTACAAGTTAATGAAAAGCCACAAACATAATAAAACTATATATTAGATTAAAAAATAGCAAATTATGTTAAATTATTAAAAATTTAATATTAGAAATGAAAGGGAAAGACTACTTGAATTTGATATTAAAAATTTCTTAAAACTATGATGAGAATGCTCAAACTATGGAGAATACCACGAAATTGAAGTCTTATTTATGAAAAATAAATAAATAAATATTTAAAAATACATAATATAGGTACTAATGAAAATTTAAATTTAAATTTGTATCTTAAAACTAAAAAAGAAAAAATTACGTAAAGAAATAAAATGACAGTGAAAATATTACTACAACATTTAGATATAATGTGTTCAAACAATTAAGAAAATATTTTTCTATGATTAATATATGAATTGAGTGCAGTTAGTTTAAGTTTGAAAGCATAACATAGTATTTCGAAATTGCGGTCCAATTTACAACATAGAATGATAAGAATTATTTGAATTTGAGATGAGATTTTTTTATTTCATAAATTTTTTATTTTTGAAAATATCATGCAAAGAAATACAACAGCAAAAATATTACTACAATATTTAGATATAATGTGTTCAAACAATTAAGAAATATTTTTTCTATGATTAAAATAAAATTAAAAATATAAAATTAATTTCTAATATAGGTAATTTTACTAATTATAATTAAAAATTAACTGCATTTGATACAAAATAATTATAAGATAATTCAATAAATTGGAAAGTAATGATAAAATAACTTATGTATTAATATTTTTGACTAATTAAAAGTTAAAATTTAAAATATAATATGATATTATTTTGGTTATAGGTAAAATATTAATATAAAAATTAATTAAAATTTATAGTAGGGAAGAGATGTATAAAAAAAATAAAGGCAGTGTTAGGATATTTATACTTTAAATTAATTGAAAAATAAATAAATCAAAATAATTGAACTATATTTTTGAAAATATTACTGATAAATTAAAATGATTAAGAAATTCTGAATAAGAGGCTACAAGCATATAAATATACCAAATTTCAAGAATAAAATATTTATATTTATTAAAGACTATTAAAAGGATAATAAGTAAAATATTAATTTAATTATTAATCTAATAAAAATTATATGACAGTATAACAATATTAAATAATTAAATAATAAATAATACAATAACTACAAGAAAAGAACAAAAATAAAAAAGAATTTATATAAAATGATGTGATGAATAAGACATATTTGACTTTGAGTGAAAAACAAAGTGATAGTAAGAATTTTATTAAAATGATGTGATATAATATGCTCAAACAAGATAGATCACAACATGACATATTTAGTATTTTTTTAATATTGACACCGAAACGAAATGCAAGTACTAAAATCAAGGGGTTAGGTTACTACAAATAAAAAAAAAGTTGTCTACTACGAGATTTGAATAATAATTTCATATCCTGCTTTATAATTAATATCTAATGTTATATAATTTTTATCTGAAAGGTTTATATTTTAAGGTTATTTGCACATGACTCAAACAACCTACATCACAATTTGATATGATTTGTGTTCGCGCATCGCGCGGGTACTAATACTAGTTACACATTGTAGGACAAAGACATTCCAATTGGTAGAATGAATTAGATAGATTGATAGAATATCCAAGCTAGAAGCGACTAGTTTTATGGTTCTATAACTGATATCCTTCCTAGAAGGTGAGCAGATATAGAACCTAGTACTGATAGCAGATAGATTAGGAAGTTTTTTCATAGGCTATTTTTTGCAAGGATCCTATCTCTATAGTCCAATGAGCAAGTGTGCTTGTAAATATTATACTTGGTTGAAATAAAATTTTCCTTTTGACAAAAAAAAAAGCATAAAACTTATAGGTAAGTTTTCCAATTTAATATTTGAAATTCGCATATCCAAAAAAAGAGACAAAATATAAAAATAAAAACATAGTTTGAGCTTCGAAAAAGATCACCTTTGCCCGCTAATAAGCGCGCTAGTAAAGTGTAGACATTATAGTATTTTCCCAATATTAGACAGCTAAAAGACCTATGCTCAAGTGCTCAACTTCAATTTTCCAGGGGCAAAACGGTCCAATAATGTGGCTCTATTTCTTTGTCTCAAGATCCTTTCTTGAATAGTTGAAACACACAAATTTGGTCTCTTTGCAGTTTTGCATAGCCACGTAGAATTCAATGCTATATATAGCATAGAGCTTACGCACACAAGAAAAGCAGAAAATAGGATACGGATTTCAACCCCAAAATTGGGCAATAAACCAATTCAATGTGAATGAATCTATTGGAGATTACACTTTAAAGAGGCTCTGCATGTCAGTAATTTTTTTCTTTTTAAATTTAGTCCCAATTTTACTCCCAACACAAATCCCACCTGTCCCTCTCCTCTTATATAATCAGCATTTGCTGTGTCTGAGCTTGCATTTTGTTCTATTGAATGTTTTTTTGGGGCAATTGATACGAGTTTGTTGGGGGTTTTGAGAGTGAGAGTGAGAGTAAATGCTGCTGTGAAATGGCTGCTTCTGCTTCCTCTACTTTGGACTCTTCCCAAAAAGAAATTGAGGATGAGCTCAAAGATTGTGGGATTAGGCTCATCATTCCTCCTCCTTCCACTGAAGAGCTCCTCAATCTACTCGATGTAAAGTTTCAATTTTTATCTATTTTTTTCATGTTCTTCACATACAAATTACTAGCTTTATCTGTGTTTTATTTCCTCTTTTTTGTGTTATCAATTTAGGTTGGTTTGATGTTGAAAACGATAAGACTTTTTGAGGGGAATGGCTGTTTGTCAATTGGATAAATTTGGTGCCTAATTTTGACTCCAGATAAAAATCTTTTCTTCTTCCTATTATAAATGACATGGTGTTGAATCAGAATTGGAGGAATAGAAGTGGCAATTGCAGTTTTGGTCGAATGATTTTGGAATTAAAATGAAAAGGACAATCCCATTATTTAATAGATGAATAGCATGAATGCCACCATAGAGCGAAGGGGAGCCTTGGCGTAACTGGTAAAGTTGCTGCCACGTGACCAGGAGGTTACAGGTTCAAGCCGTGGAAATAGCCTCTTGCAGAAATGCAGGGTAAGGCTGCGTACTATAGACCCTTGTGGTTCGGCCCTTCCCCGGATCCCGAGCTTAGTGCATCGGGCTGCCCTGCCCTTGCCTCCATAGAGCATTTTCTCCATGGTCGTGACTTAATTTTTATGAACTGCCTTTATATTTTCTTGAAGTTGTTTGCTCGTATTTCCGTGTAGTTGTGGCAGCTTCAAGTTGACTACTTTTCTCCTCGTGTCTTTTAGAAAGTAGAATCTCTATTGATAAAGGTAGGTCAAGCCCCTTCTGATTCAATGAAAGATGCACTTCGACCAGTAATGAGAGCTATGGTTGGAAGTGAACTTGTAAAGAATGCTGATGTGGATGTCAAATTCTCTGTTGTATCTTGTCTCTGTGAGCTTTCTAGAATAACTGCCCCTCAGCAACCTTATGATGATGGACTAATGAAGGTATCCAAGATATAACATTCTACTTTGTTGTTCTCTTTTCCTAATACACACACATATTATATATGTGTAGAAAGAACCACACTAACTAGTTTAGCTAGTGTCATTTGCTCAAACTTTATATCCATTACCTTTTTGTTTTCACACTCTTGTATTGAAAACTCTCAGGAAATTTTCCAACTTATAGTAAGGGCATTTGAAGAATTATCTCATTCAGCCCGCCATTATTATAAGGCTGTCCATATCCTTGAAACTGTGGCGGATGTCAAGGCCTGTGTGATGCTGCTGGACCTTGAATGTGATGCTTTAGTTATAGAGATATTCCAGCTGTTTCTCACGATCATCAGGTAACTTAGCAAATTTTCCTTTTGGTGACAAGTATCTTAACCTTTTTCTCTTTTTTGACTGTTACATAGAGTTGTGATTTAATTCTTTCAAGCAATTAATTTAACCTCCTTCAGATTAAATCAGTATGGAACTTTTAGGATTTTACACTGGGAATGTTGGTAAAGTGAGATTAGATAGAACTATGAAAAATGACTAGAGAGAGTACGGATTTAGGATAAGCAAAAGTAAGATAAAATATTGCACTGCAAATTTAGCCTCCAAAGGAAAAATGAAGGTGAATGAGATTAGACACGATTGTATCGTCTACATACACACATTTTCTAATATCTTGGCTCAGTCTTCTGCAAGAATGGCATGATAAATGGAGATGTAGCACATATAAATTATATAGGAAGAATAAAATGGAGGAGTATTATGAGAGTGCATAATGAAGGAGTTTTTGGAATGCTATGTGATAACCTAACAATGTGATAGGAGAGTTTTATCGAACGGTTGTAAAACCAGCAAATTACATGAGATAGGACTCTATAGTCCAACATTGTCAAGATAGAATGTTGTGTAAATTCGGATATTAAGACTAATGTGGACCATCCAAGATTTGTATAATTAGAAATGATAACAATATGATAGAGGGTGTAAGTAGCACACACTGAAGATAAATTAGAGAACATTGCCTGAGATGATTTGGCATATCCTACACAGACCTCCAAATGTTGATGGTTAGCAGGTGAGAAACAGGGACGAGATAGATTTACACTTACACAGAGAAAAGTTGGCTAAAAGGATCTACATTTTCTCTAAATCAATGTAGACTTAGCTAAGAATGGAACACTATGGAATCAAAGGATCCATATAAGTGATCAACTAGTTGAGATTAAGGCTTAGTTATTTCTGTTACGCTTACATTTGGTTAGTGTTCATCAAGAGTTTTTTGCTCTGGTTACAAATTTGTTTATTTGTGTAGGGATAAGTGAAATGTTGAGAATATCTTCTATTAGAGAAACATCAATTGCCTTAAAAAACTAATTATCTGGCATTGGAATGAAATAACCTCTTGCAGAAGTGCAGGGTAAGGCTGCATATAATAGACCGTTATGGTCCGGCCCTTCCCCGGACCCCGCGCATAGTTGGAGCTTAGTGCATCGGGCTGCCATTTTTTTTTGGAATGAAATAACCTGAATAGAGTGGAACAGATTACAGAGGATTATATAGTGGACCCCAGCTAATTCAGGATTGAGGTGCAGATGATTAATTGATATTGCGGTGGGACGCTGAAGTGTTGGCTGCTTGTCTGTAAAGAACGAGCAGCAGGCTCGTCGATGTAATTCAAGTAGTTATGATTTATCTTATCTATTTATGCAACAATACAATTAGCATTTGATGTTTGTTTCGGTATTGACTAGCTTAAAGGCGGTGGACCACATAAATTGCACTTTAAACTGTCCGCTAGCTATTCGTGATACTTAAGTTCTTATTCACCTTCCGAGCACATTTAAGCATGTTGGTGATTGTTTGACTTTGACATCATGCTCCATGCCATTTTACCCCAGGTGAAAGATTATAAGGTTATCTTGTGTAAGTTTTCTCTGATGAATGCTTATGTTTGATGCTGTGATTTTCTCAAGGCCCGACCATCCTAATGTTGTATTCAAAAGCATGGAAGAAATCATGACTCTGCTCATAGAAGAAAGTGATGAAATCTCAATGGAGCTTCTTCAGCCTCTCCTTGATAGCGTCAGAAAGGAAAATCAGGCAATAACCTCATCCTAGTAATTTTGTTAATCATGTTTCTTTAGTGCTTTTCTTGATCTTATATACTGTACAGATTTGTTCACCTATCTCGTCAAAATTGGGAGAGAAAGTCCTGAAAGAATGTGCTTCCACTGTTAGACCCTATCTTGTAGAAGCCCTCAAGTCAAGAAGCATGAATCTTGATGATTATGCTGAAATAGTTGCCTCAATATGCAATGAAATGCCTGAGGGAGAACAAATGGTGCGTCCTAGTCATGACTATTTTTTTTCCAGATAATTTATTCATGACGATCTCTTTTATGCAACTGCTTTTTGCTTTTTCTTGTACTACGAGAAAATGACCTCACGCGATGCAATATTTGTCTAAAACAGTACGAGAATGCCAATGAGACTAAACCCAATGCTTCTATAGTGCTTGATATGTATTTACTACTTTTAATTATGAAAATATGCTATTGAATTACTACTGATTAAAAAAAATGCTCCTTATAAGTAAAAAAAAACTATTGGATTACTTTTCCTTTTTGCTTATATTAATTTTATGATAGTCACATTTTTATTTTCCTTTTTGCTTATATTAATTTTATGATAGTCACATTTTCATTTTCCTTTTTGCTTATATTAATTTTATGATCAGATGGTGTGTATCCTGTAAAAGTTGGTCCATCTGGTGCTGTTATTTGAGACTCCTTTAAATATTAATGGCACCTCTTCGAAAACATTACAGCTTTACAGTCAGACGGAGCAGCTAAAGAATATTGGCATTAGCAATGGTAGTCATGGTTGCCGGGTTAGGGCTAAGAAGAAACAGAGGATGCCAAATAAGGAGGCTCACCTGGGTGTGTTGGTTCCTGAAGGAGATGTCTTGCAATCTCAAGATAAGAGAAATGGCTCACTGCATTCAGTTCTCAACTTTGGGGGTGAACATAAGGGCACAGCATGTAGCAAAAGAAAACCACGTCAGAGCTCAAAGAAGAGCGAGTCTGTTCCGAAAGGTGATGCGGACACCACTTCTGGCCTTAACATTGTAAGAGGAGGAGACCTTACTGATGCTAAGGAGCCATCAGTGCAACAAGTTGATGAAAAGAAACAGAAGAATGACAAAGCTACCATTGAAACTCATGATGTAGAAGAAACAGGAGATGAGGTTAAAAGGAAAACTTCTTAGAAGTTGTTATCGCTAGATCTGTGCTTATAGTTTATTTCAAGCACAAATGTGACGACCACTTTCTTTTTTATTTTTTTTCCTTGTTCCCTTCGCACTTGTGGGTTTTACAGGCGATTAAACTATCTTTTGGGGATGAAAATCTGTCAAGCAAACTTGGCAAAACTAAGCGCCAGAAGAAGCTTGCCATGGGAAAGGATGAGGTACTAATATACTCCTACCATTTTTTGAAGCAAATTGTAACCCTTGTTTATGTAACATCCATATCTGTAAAATTTGCAGATTTTGCTTGTATTTACGTAGTATTGTTGAAATGTAGCAGCTTGTTGCCAAATTCTATGACTTCTTAGCTTTGTCAAAAGAATCCAATCACAGTAAAAATAAGTTATAAGCTGCTATACCCTCCTTGAAGTCAGAGCGAATACTGTTCTTACCGCTTTTCAATAGATTTTAAAGGACTGAAAACTATTTTTTGGTGTAGGGCCCTACTGCTTTCACTTTATCTGTTGTTCTAGAATGTTTTCATGTCTGAAGAGCTTATGTTCGAATTGTTTCATTCAGAATTCTAAAAGGCGTCACATCACCAAAAATTATGGAGAAGAAATGGTTGGTACCAGAATAAGAGTTTGGTGGCCATTGGACAAAGTGTAAGTTCTACAAAATGTTGTGTCAGGACTGTCACGCTATTGTAAATTAGTGGTAGTAATTACAGCTCCACTCTCATTCCAGCACTTTTAATCAACTTGATTGCCTTCTTTGTTAAGTTTATTGTCTATAAAAGTGACCTACCTGCTAGGCTGTCAGGCAAGAATTTGTTTCATTCCCTTATGGCGTGTTCATAGCTTGTGTTAAGAAATACACACATGGTTCTTTTTATTTTTGTTTTTTATATTGGTTTTCTCTAGTTTTTACTACTCGATGCTTTAAGCAGACCTTATACTCGCAGACAATCCGTGTGGAGATAGATTGTAGTGATCAGCAGCCGATGGATTCCTGAGTTTCGAAATTAGCTTGTTAAGCTAATAAACTGTTGTTGTCTTCTTCTTCTTGTTCTTTTTCTTTCTTTTTTCTTTGATGTCTTTTTGGTAGGCTAAAGAAAAAATTGGATATATGTTTGTATCCACCATATATGAGCTTCTTTTCTTTTAATTCTTTTTCTTTCTCGTTCTTCAATTTAAACTATCAGCCATCTCAATCATCACCATCGTCCATATCATGTGACTGGTTATAGTATTAAACCTTTGTAGATTCTTCTGCCTCTACCAGTGAACTGACTCGTATTTCTGTCAAAATTTTCAGCTTCTTTCTATAATAGATTCTGAATTAATACTTTCCAAATGCTCATCCACTCACAATTCCAGCAATGCCAACTCACCTTTAGAACTATCAACTAACAAAGCTCTTATCTATAAATCAACCCATTGCCAGATATTGTCTAACTGCTACATCATTCTTCAATTTTATCATCTCTATGGTTTCAGTTGCTTGAAAAGTTGGAGTCAGTGGCAAATTGTCTAGGCAGTGTTCTTTCAAAAGAAATATGTGTAGCCTTACATGTAGATCATTTCTTGATGTGCTTGGCAGCATGAAATGTTGTGGCTTACTTGCTTACTAGCAATAGTTACTGGTTGTTTCTGGTGTATGGGTTACAAATTTTTGAGCGTGTCTCATCTATTGATTGATATAGCTTGTATTGATATCAATTATTGTGAATATAATTACCAGATAGACAATGAATATAGATGGGCAAAGAGAAATACTCCCCTTGGCCACCTAAAAGAGAAACCATTCCAAGATTTATCTGCAAAGTGATAGGTTTTGATTATTGAGTTGAAAAAAAAACAGACAGTTGACGAATTGCTAGGACCAATGCTCTAAAAAGGGGATGTTGGTTATTTAGAAACAAAAAACAGAAGAGAATGCGGCCATGGGAGTACTGAAGGAGGTAGATGCCTCAGAAGATCACTCTAACGGGCAACAAGGAACACCATTTCCATGAATATAAGGAAGTTTCTTTTGAACCATCGGATAATTTCTTAAGTTGACAAAAAAGATATTTCCAGATTTTTTTTTCTGCTTTATCAATGAAAAAAAAGATTATCAATTAAATCTGTAAGTTCACTCGGAACATTTAGTAATGACATATTGCACACGACTACCAAGTCAATGATGACAGCAAACAGTTTAGTTAATTGTTCACTTGGCTTTTTGACATGTAGAGTATCAGAGCACATCTTCAATTCCTTCTACCAAATTGACTTTTATCATGTCCTGAATATGGAAAAAAGAGTCTGGCTAAAGTTTGTGATCTTAAGTTTCTCTTTGCAGGTTCTATGAGGGTGCAGTTACTGAGTTTGATCCTGTGAAAAAGAGACACAAGGTAGTGATCTTATTATCAAGCTGTCTGCTGTTTTCGAGTTCATTTCTATACAGTTTTCGTTCCAGTTTATTGCTCATATTCTTTTCATTTTGTGATATCCTGATATATATGCACTTAATAATGATGACAAGAATATATACACCATTCCCAAGTCTGTAAAGTTGTACATCGGTAGTCAGTTTGGATCCATGATGTCATTTATTTCCTTCTCAATTTAATTGAGACAAACTCCAAATATTACATTTGCCAAAATATCTGCAATGTCCAATTGACTCCCTGCTCAGTAATGTTGAGGCAAATGGCAATGCTATTTACCGAAAAATATCTGCCTGTCCAATTGACTCCATCTTCCTGCTCAGTAGCATAGAGGCAGAACTGTTTACGGAACCAAATATAGTCATTGCAATAAAAATCCCTTTTACCTGCAAGAAAGGGAAATATATCCTGGAAGTGAAGCGGTAATTTTTGCTAACTTGAACCATCTAGAAGTTTCAAGTTGACTGATGCTATTTGCTTGTTTTCCTTTTGAGATCTTATATTATGATGAACAAGTGGAAACCTTGAATCTGACTAAGGAACGGTGGGAGATGGTTGGAGACAATCCATCTGACAAGGTGCTTTCCTCATTCGATACTGTGTTATCTTAACATATTTTCAAGTTATTATTGGCCTTACATCGCCTTGTGATATGATTCTATTGGATGAAGTATTTACAGAAGCATGAGACAGATCTTCAATGCAATGCTGTTTCATCTGTTCCGTAAGTATTGATTTCTAAATTTTCATTGTACCTTGGATGCATCCTATGCACAGTTTTGAATGTTGTGTTTACTCCTGCCTACTACTTTAATGTTAGAGATTGTATTTCATATCACCTTGATAAGGCAGTACTATTATTGGGATATGATATGGTTATTGGTTGATGAACTTGAGCAGATCCATGAAGAAGAAAGCAAAAAGAACCTCCTCAACAAAAAGGGAACCTGGAGTCTCTTCATCCAAAAGGTTGTTCTTATGTTGCTATACACTTTTTCCTGTAGTATTTCTCTCCGAACTGACTGTTCCGAGAGGGTTTGACAAGTAGGTTCTCTATCTTCAGGTCTAAAAGAAATGCCCAAAAGGGTGAAACTGAATCCATGGATATTCCAGTTCCAGATGAGATGAATGATGCTACTGATGTTGGTTGCGCAACGAGCAGCAGAAAAAAGGATCCTGTGGACAAGGAAGATAACATGATCAATGAGAATCAGATATCCAAGAATTCGAAAGTTGATTTAGAGAGCTCACTGATGCTTGAAGACCATCCATCTGACAAGGTCCTAAACCCATCTGATGTTATTTATCTCTCAACATATTTTCAGATTGTCATTCACATTACATATCTTTGTGATACAATTCTTTTTGACGCAATATGTACAGAAGCATGAAACAGATCTTCAAAGCAGTGATGTTTCATCTATACCGTAAGTATTGATTTCTAAATCCTTGGGTCCTAGTTCGCTATGTATTCTTGACTGTCATCTACTTCTGTCTACTACATTTAAGATAGAGATTGTATTTATAATCACCTTAATATGCGACTACTATATTGGGATATGATATGATTATTGGTTGATGAACTTAGCAGCTCAAAGAAAGCAAAAAGAACCTCCTCAAAGAAAAGGGAACCTGGAATCTCTTCATCCAAAAGGTTGTTCTTTTGTTGCTGTACACTTTTTCTCGTAGTATTGCTCTCTGAACTGGAAGGTACTGAGGGTTTTGACAAGTAGGTTTCTTTCTTCAGGTCAAAAAGGAAGGCCCAAAAGAGTGACATTGAATCCCCGGTTATTCCAATTCCAGATAAGATGAATGATGCTACTGATGTTGGTTGCGAAACGAGCACTGGGCAAAAAGATCTTGTGGATAAGGAAGATAACACGATCGCACAGAAGCAGAGATCTGAGACTTTCATACTTTCCTTAGATAGCTCATTAACGCTTGAAGACCGTCCATCTGACAAGGTCCTTTCTCATCTGATACAGTGTAATCTCTTAATATATTTTAAAATTATCAATGGCATTACATATGTTTGTGATTGATTGTTTTTTATTATTTATGTACAGAAGCATGAAACAGATCCTCAAAGCAATGATGTTTCATCTGTTCTGTAAGTATTGATTCTGAATTTCCTTGTAACCTTGGACATATCTTAGTTCCTTACATATTCTTGACTGTTATCTGTCGTATTCTCTTCTGTTTACTACATTAATGATAGAGATTGTATTTAATATCACCTTAATATGCCACTACTATCTTTTTGTATGGTTAATGGTTGATGAACTTGAGCAGATTGATGAATAAGAAAGCGAAAAGAACCTCCTCAACAAAAAGGGAACCCAGAGTCTCTTCATCCAAAAGGTTGGTCTTTTGTTTTTTTACACTTTCCGCTGTAGTATTGCTCTCCGCACTGACTTTGACAAGCAGGTTTTCTACCTTTAGGTCTGGAAAAAATGCCCAAAAGAGTGACATTGAATCCCTGGATATTCCATATCCAGATAAGATGAATGATGCTACTGATGTTATTTGCGAAACGAGCAGTGGGCAAAAAGATCTTGTGCACAAGGAAGATAACATCATCACAGAAGCAGAGATCCAAGACTTCCAAAGTGGCAACCTAGAGCTCATTAAAGGAAGTGCACTCACAGCATCGTCAAAGCTTTCCAATGGTGCCTTAGAGAGCTCATTGACGAAGGAAGCCAATTAAAGTATAAAGATGCTGAAGTTGAGTTTGGGGAAAAGGTAGTAGTGGTTACTCGTTATTCATTCAAATTTCGAAGTTTTAAATCACATTTGAACCCAATAGTTCGTTTAACTTTAAAAGCTATGAGACCTTGAGTTTGTTACGATAGTTTGCGGAATGGACAGCTGGAGGATTCCATGCTCGACCATATTCATGCAGATTTTTTAAAAAAAATGTTTATTTCTCCTTTGGTTTCGGTATGAAATTTGAGTTAACAAAGCAACTGCATTCGTTGTAGTCCGTTGATATGTCAGAAAGGATTCAAGTCCTTTGCTTGATTATAGATCTCCATAAAAGCAAAGCAATGCGAATTCTATATCTGGTCGATTCTTCCATATAATAGGTGAGAGGAGCTGTGGGATTCTGTTTCTGAATGTATCAATGAAAATTGTGAAGCATTACAGAAGCTGAAGAAGTTACTGATAGGAGTAGTTAGCAAGAGCTGAAGAAGTTACTTAGGATTAGTTACACATCTGTAGATTTGTTTCTCTATGGCTAAAGCTCATGCTCACAGAATCTATTGTCGGGTAGCCGGCACCACAGCACTAGCATTTGCAACTGGATATGGTCGAACATGTACGTAAGTTTTATTATTGGGCTGAGATTTAATTAGTCTTTGTTGGGCATGTTATTGGGCTGAGGTTTAATTAGTCTTTGTTGGACTTGTTATCCCAACTCAAACTTGGGGCATTTGCATCTATACCCGCTTTTTGTGCCACATTTTAACCTGTGCCCGCTTTGCAAAAAAAATTGCAAGCGTACCCGCTTTTTCGCATAACTTCAGCACACGGAGCTGAAGTAGCAAAGGCAATCACACAAAACTTCAGCATCTTAGTAGCCGGGCCTGAAGCTCAGCTCTAGAGCTGAAGTTTTTGTTTTGTAACTCGCGAACTTCTAGTTTATAAGTTTTTGTTTAGTAACCGGGCTAAAGTTTGCCAGTTATAAAATAAAAGTTTTATTTTATAAGTTTTTGTTTAGTAACCGGGCCTGTTATAAAATAAAAATTTCAGCTCTAGGCCAGTTATAAAATAAAAACTTCAGCTCTAGAGCTGAAGTTTTTCTTTTGTACTGGAAAACTTCAGCTCTAGAGCTGAAGTTTCTATGTTGTAACTAGAAAACTTCAGCTCTAGAGCTGAAGTTTTTGTGTTGTAACTGAAAAACTTCAGCTATAGAGCTGAAGTTTTTGTCTAATTAACTTCAGCTCAGGACACCAAGAAGATACAGTTACATCTAATTAACTGTATTGTGATCATCTAATGCATCCGATTTTGCGTTCTGTTTTTATTGCAAAATAAATGCTTTGTTGTTATGTTATTTCGTTTTCGAAAACTTTTCTTTTTAACATTTGAATCTCTGATCGCTGATGATCAGCTTCTCCATTTTCTTTACGGTTTCTATGTTTTATCTATATTACAACATATTTGATTTTCGTGTTGCTGTTTTTGTTGGATAAAAATTGGTGCCTTTTTCTGATCAATGGTATGACCATATCATTCCTCAGTCCTCACGGAGTTGTGTTTCCAGACAATGAGAAAATGAAGAAGGAGAAGGGGAGGAGAAAGGGAAGCTGAAGTTTTTTAAAAAGTGGGTACGGGTGCAAACAGAAAGACAAAGCGGCTACAGGTTATAAAGGGGCGCTGAAATAGGGCGCCCCATCCAATTTTTACCTCAAACTTGTAAGAACATCTAATAATTATCCTTCACTTTGTGAGATGCATAGGATGCAAACTGGGATAATATATTATGCAATGTTGCCCCAAACATCCAAAGAAAAAAAAAGTCATAAAAGGTATTTTTCAGCATTCACCAATTGCTTACCTGGTCCAGTTTCATTTGCCCGCACTCATGTATATATGTGTGTCACAGTGTGTGCGCGCGCACTCAAATGTTGCGCACTCACACTCTTATATATGTGTATCATGCTGAGGTCAGAATCAAGTCATACTAGTAGCTTTTTTGGCCAGGCTTCTAAAATCAGCTTATTTTGAGAAGTGTTTTTTCCAAAAGTACTTTTTAAAAAAGTGCTTTTGGTGAGAAATAGTTTGTGTTTGGCTAATTAATTTGAAAAGTACTTTTGAGTAGTAATTAGTGTTTGACCAAACTTTTGAAAACTGCTTCTAAGTATTTTTTTTCTCAGAAGTTCTTCTCAGAAAAGTGCTTTTGGAGAGAAACTACTTTTTTCTGCTTCTCAAAAACTGCTTTTGCTTCTCCTCAAAAGCGTTTTTTTTCCTTCCAAAAGCTTGGTCGTGCCTCAATTTTTGGCCAAAAATACTTTCGGCAAAAAAAAAAGAAAAAAGCACTGTTGGCTCAAAAAAACTTGGCCAAACAGGTTATAGGTTCTTGTTCCATGGAAACTTCGATCAACCAAACCCCATCTAGAACTTCTGCAATTAAAACGCACTAGGAATTTCTATAACAAAAAAGAAAAAGACAAATCGATAGAGTTGTCAATCGTAGGTTGAAAGCTGTAGCTTTCCCATGCAAAATATTATGGACAAAGTAAGTCCAAACGGTAACGTTCATTTGCCGCCTTACTATGTGTAGTGGCAAACAGGGCAAAAGGTGTTGTCATTGGAACGTAAGTAAAATAAAGTGGAAATCACTAACGAAATGTAGTAGGTTTCAATTAGTCAAATACTGAAACAGTAAAAGACATCAAAGTTCATTATCATTGGGTGGAACTAAAATTGAACAACTGTTAAAAAATACCAACAGTTTTCTCCCTCACGAGTACTTTTATCTATTGCCATTTTTCTTGTTTTCTCAACAGTTAAAGGCTTAATCCATCATCATTTATTTAACTATTGTATTTAACGTCGAAGAAGCCATTTACGCCTTCATTAATTTCTTCTTTTGAGCAATAATCCGATTTTTTTTGTCTAAATAGAAAGAGAGGAAAAAGAAATTTGTACGTACTTCTATTTTATTCGTCCTCCAAACTCGTGATAGATTATCTAATCAAAATTGGTATTGGTATTTCTATCATTTTCAAAAGTTTCTTTTGAGTTTCAGTTTATTAAACATCTACATTAGGAAAAGACACTCATTGCCTTTTACTAGTAATACTTAATCTCCACAAAAAGGAAAATAGAAAGGAAATAAAACGAAGCAAATGTGACGAATTGAAATACTAGATTGCTCTGGTAATTGGTATCTCTTAATAATACAAAATCATGGTTATTCTTTTTAACTCAAACAGCAAGACCAAGGAACACGCTACTTCTGCTTTTTCGCTCAAATCTAGCAAAAAATGACTTAATAATATCAAATAATAAAGAGAAACCAATTTTCCATTAATAAAGTTAAGATCTTTACACAATTTTCAAGAAGTGTCAACCCCGTGTTTGTCCGGTCATGAAAGAGTTTTTAAAATTAAATCCCATGCAGCGAGAGCAATTGCGTCGTCACCTTCTACTTAACTTGACATTATACTATCGAGGATATACGTCGTAATTTCTCTTTTTCTATTAGCAGAGTATCCATCAAAGACAGAGAAACCAACTCCGATATCGCTTGTTATTCAAAGAAATATGTTCCAACTTGCAGCTGATGATTATCAAAGAGTATAAAACGATAATTCATGAATATAGAAATAGCGGCGGCGGCTTTGCTGCAGTTAGTGGCACATTATTGTTTAGCATTTAGCGTTGTTTTAATAAATAAAAAAGTTTGTAATTTAAAAATATCGGCGGCTTTGTTGCATTTAGTGGTACGTTGATTAATAAAATTTATAGAAAAATTAACAAATAATTAACCATTCTAATTAGCTATTAGTTCTATCGCCATCATTTGAAACATCGATATAAAATTGTAATTTGTTTTATATTAATGTAAGGCTAGTTTTCTTTCCTTTTCAGGTATTCAAATACAACACCATAATTGTTATCTAACTTGAGTACTCTAAGGGGTCGTTTGGTTGGAATATGATTTATACCGGTATAAGTTATATTGGGATAAGTTATGCTGGGATTAGTTATGCTGGGATTGTTGTTTATTCATTGTTTGGTATGTTGTATTAAGAATGACAATTGCATAATTTCTAAGAAGAAGGTATAAGTTATACCGGTGTTAATTACCCACCTTTTATAAGGTATAAGTTATCCCGGTGTTAAAATTAACACCGGGATAACTTATACTTGGTTTACTAACCAAACAGAGTATTAAGGTGGTACTAAATTTTTGTACCACCCTTATACCTTCTTATACCTTATACCAAACGACCCCTAAGTTCTTTTAATATCTCCGTCAATCACCAACATGCATGCACATGGTGAATATGGATCAAATGAATCTCAACATCAGTCCAGTCCAAAATTGGGCCCAAAGTAGAGTATTGCAAAATAAATAAGGGAAATTTACCTGGAATAGAACAATCTAAAAGAAATACAACCACTTTTTAAAAATTACTGTATATACAATTTATTACAACTTTTTAACTTTTTAATTAGATTAGATACAACTTTTGATATGCCTAAAATATCTCATTATGGAACTTGAAAATAAGGATTATGCTAACTAACACATAATCCCTTAAATTCAAACTAATTTCACAGTTCTCTCTCACCTAAACGTATAGACTATTAACTTTCCAATATTATATTTTATATCCCATTATTATATATAAAGAACTATATTACATATATTTTAAATAAATATAATGTATTATTATTCTCAAATCAATACCCATATATTATACTAGTATGTTAATATTCCATTATAAATTTAATGGTATATTAAGTATTACATATTTAGTATAACGGTGAATATATTATAAGAGAGAGAGAGAGACTTTTTTCTATATGTATTGCATTTCTTCTATACATTAAAATAATCTATACAAGAAATAAATATACCTCGAATAATATAATATATTAATATAATAAAATACTCATATATTAATATACAATGAATATATAACAGATTTCTTATGTACATTATATAGTATATTGTATAGATTATACAAATATAATATAATAATATAAGATAAATATGCTATAACAAATTTCATAAATTTATAATATTTGATTCCTATATTATATAGATTACATCTCTCACCTATTTTTGAATGGTTGTATTTGAATTGGGGTCGATTTAGTTAGGCTTAATTTTAGAGATGCAAAGATATTTTAGGAAAATTTAATTGTATTTGAATTGTAGTCAATTTGCTTAAGCCTAAATTTAGGGAATGTTAAAAATTCTATTAAATTTTGCTAAAATTTTAGAATCCTTATGTAATATAGGTTGAATAATGTCCACAGAGAGAGATACTTTTAACTTGAAT